TGCGACACTGTATAGGTTGGCTGGCGGCCCAGCATATATGTGCACGGCTGGCGGCCCAATGTGAAAGGTCCTTTACCAAAAGTATTTGTCCCAGATTGTTTTGGAAAATGAAACAGTGGGTTAGACGAACACCTTGAATCATTTGAACTACCATAGCTCCACCTGATTTATCTTACGGTTATAATGAAAAGTCTCTTAAAGCTTAAGTTCTCTAAGTACTACTTACAAGTTCCGTAAGTCCTTCAAGTGTGATAACTAAGCTGCAAGTGCCACAAGTAAACCCAACCACCAAGTATGTGTTGCCCAAGATCGCTTTCCGGCACCTGTTATGACTAATCCGCTCACTTTTAAGCGTCACCCTACAGTTGCGCATATGCGAGATTTCTTATGCAGATATTTGATCCTGGGGTATAGTATGCCACTTGTATCTTGTTGACGCTGCTTGTGCCATCTGCTAACTGGGCTCAAGTTCGCGCCATGCCCGCTTCTGAACCTTGAGGACGCTCGCGCGAACTCGAGCGAGTGAAGAAGGCGGGCCGCAAAGTGCAGGAGCGGTTTGACTCCTTAGATTAGACTGTGGCAGACATTGCTGGGCAGACTGCTGCTGACGTGTCTAGCCTCCGCGCTGAGCTCCAAGTTGTATTTTTCATCCACGGTGCCGCTCTCCAGAAGCTCCTTGCCGAGTTGGACGCATACAACCGAGAGCGAGGCTGTTAAGAGTCTGCTTGCTTTCGACAGCAGTTAGGCTATCGCTATAGTCTTGGCAATGCCACCAAAATCCCGTCAGACGGACGGCCATGGATTCTGCTCTGCACGTTCCAGGCCTCGGAATCGGGCAGATCTTGCCGTTCGTTGGCTGTGGCAGGCACCGGCTTTGGACTAAGCTTGGCGACAGGTCTTGGCCAGAAGTTGGGTTCAAGGCAGGCGTGGCCCGCACCAGCCGCAAGGTTCTGGCTGTGGTCGATCATGCGGGTTATGCCGGCCATCCAGCTCGATCCGCCTGCTTGGTTTCACCTCAACCACCTCCATTAGAGCATCCAAGCAACGTCACGCGCCAGGACTAAGGAAGGCCCCAACCAGGAGGTACTTCTTGAAGCCCACAAATCCTCTTCCGGATCCTTGGACAGTGTCATGTGCTGTCCAAAGTCACCTGAAACCCAGTCCCTGTACAAACGATAAAGCCGGATAGAAGATACAAAACTGATTAAAAACCAAAACTTAACCAAAGCCTTGTAACATACGAGGGGGTGGGAAAGCATCAAGGCATTGTCACATTACCCCCAAACAGCGGGGTAAAAAACCTCACACCCGCGGGCCACCATCTGTGCCATCCACAACTACTGATAATACAAAGGAACATGGAACTGAGGCGACACCGTCTCGTACCCGAAGATATTCACGAAAGCACTCCGAACACCAGCGCCCAGGGAGAGCCAGCACCCGTCCCAAAGCACCCTCCTCGCAGCAGACCGGAACCCACTTGAAAGCAGGGGCCTGGACGAGACCAGAACCCCGCGCCCGGACGAAGCCGGAGCGCACTGGATGCAGCATTCAGCAGTACAAACAGCCATAAGGTAAAAATTGTCCCCAAAGTTACCCAATCATAGCCAAGGCACAACGACGGGCATTGAGCCACTCATGAAGGCCTGAAGATTACAGCAAGTGAAGAGCAGGAAAACATGACTGAAGAATCTGTTGTTCAATCGTTTACAGAAATAGCAGGGTCGGCAGCATCTGTGCTCGCAGCTTCTGTGCTCGCAATCACCTTCGCAGCGTCACTGCTTCTACAAAGCGTCGCAGTGTCGGGCAGTCACTCGGCCCCCTTTCGCCCTGCACTGGAATGTAAAAATGTCTCTACAGAGGATCGGAGCATTGGATTTTTGGGGATGTGGAGCTGTGGGCAAATTGCCTATGTTCCACTGGTGTAGGTCAAAGATGGGTTCGGCATTCTTATGCAAGCGCCACGGTCCGGTTATGATGTGGATCCCTATAGGGATTTCTGTCACCTTGATGCTTTGTTGAAAAGAATCGTTTAGGACTCAGGTTTGTCCATTTTTTGTGGGTTGAACTCCTGGACTCCTTCAGTCCCAGATGGGCTGGAAAGCAATGGACGAACCCAGTCACCTGCAAAACGCCCTGACAATGTTCAGGCCCTTGAAAGACATTCCTTTTGTTTTTCGGTTCCACGTGCTCCCTTCACATGTCACTGATCACTGTCGATTTGCACGGACCTCGGACCTCGGGACCTCTCTCCGCCGCAAACTGATGTGGCATCGACTCCCCATGAGGCCTCGGAACTGGCGCGCGTGCGTGGCCTGCCGCGGATCTACGTCTCCTGCAACAGTGGCGCCGAGCTCGGGGGGAGTAGGGGCTCCAGGGCCTATCCTTTTCTCAAAAAGAAATGTTCAAGAAGCAAACAAAAAAGTCAATCCAGACGCCATCGTCGTGGTGTTTAGATGGTGCAAACATGTGCAAATCTGTTTTTTTTGGTGGAGGGTTGCAGTCTTCATTTTGGAAACAGAAGTCAATCCTGTGGGCACGTAGGATCACAGGTCGGTAGGAAAACACCACTGTGGAGTTCATGTGGGAAGGTTTTCCTTAGGCTGACTGGTTGATTTCACTCTGTCAAGCATCGTCCTCAAGATTCCGTGTCCCTCACCATCCATGCAATCCACCCCTCTTCAAGCACCTCAACTGCTGGGTCAAGTTGCCCCCATGGTTCTTGCCTTTCGGTTGTGTTTGCCCGACCCAACGTATGCTTATAGTCTTTTTGATTTTCGGCTGGATGTTTATATTCCCAAACCGAGTGAATCCCCCGGCAAAATGGTTTTACTATGTTTTGCGTTCTTCCCGGTTCCCGGTTCCTGGCAGCAAATCCAACGTATGGAATCTACGATGACCTGCCACGGGGCCGAGCCAAACACGTCGTCCCCGAGAGGAGTGGGCTTTTGTAAAACTTAGCAATCACTGTGTGTGTAGCAACAGGGAACCCTGAAGAGCGCCAGGAATAGGCAAAGGATAGAGCGATACCCAAACCGATACCAAATGATACCTAGCCACCTCCCTATGTCATGTGTGGAACCCCAACTCACCAACGCTACTAGTGATGCAAAAGAGCTTAAGTCAAAGGCCTTTGCAAGTTGTTGAAACAATGGCTTACACGTTGTAGCTTCTAAGAGGAACCACAAAGAATCCTAAGGTTTGAGAGAGATTGTGGGGTTCTTTGTTTGTTGATTTAGGAGTGTATGGAGCGATAGGGAACCTTGAAGAGCAATACCGTGGCAGACCGTTGCAGACACGGGGTGGGATGCAGTTGGCACTAAGATTGCCAAACAGGAAGTCATTGTTTGTTTGCCTTTTGATGTAAGATTTGGATAGATTTGGTTCCCATCACCGCTTTGGACTGGTCGGGTTCTGCTCTTGCTCAGACGTTCAGGAATCATGATGATTCTTCATGCACTTTATATGGGCTCATAATTACGATGTTCAGGTACATTTCAGGTACATGTTCCATCCTGATCCATCATGTTCCATGCCCGTTTGGATGAATCCATCCACCCGACGTTTAGGGGGTCGATGTGACATCGACGCTTGGCAGACGCTGCATACAGGTGCCCGTGTGGGCTTGGTCGAAGAGCTGAAGCCTCTCTACAAGGCCGTCGCTATGGGTCGATCTGAGCTGGGACGTTCGTTGCTAGGTTGAGCGAACGCAAGGCAACATAAGGCAAACAAATTGTAGGGGTTAGATAAGTTAGATAAGATGATATAACAACCGCCGGAACAAAGGTGAAGAAGGCTAACTTGTCCAGTCCCATGGAGTGTTTGAGATTGGAAGGTCATGAAGCTTATGAACGCCCATCCTGAAACAGTTCAACTCGCTTTTGGGATGATGCTCAAGTCACAATGATGTTCCCTAGGGCTCCAACTACCTGCTGAGAAGGTGGCTGGTTGGGGTGGGTTTGGGGAGGGATATGGTTAGAGCATGGTTGGAGCCCTAGGGATTGTGTTTGACAAGCTTCTTTTGTAACCAGCCCAGTTTCCGCTGAACGACACACTATGCTTGCTTGAGCGCCGGCCCAAGCCGGCGGAAATGCTCTTGATCAACGTCATAGCAGCAGCAATGCACGAGTACGCCCATTGGCTCGTGTCATCCTACCAAGTCTAAGTCAGTGGATGACCTGCAAACGCCTGCAAAACTGCTTTGGTGACAAAAGCAAACCAAAAATTGGATTTCCCATGGTTTCACCCCCTGTTGTTCTTCGTTTCACCCCCTGTTGTTCTTCCCACCCAACCAACCACCAGCGAGCCGAGCCGACCAAAAGGGGCCCCCCACCTCCGTTGTTTCGGCCCGGCGCCTCTTGCGCTCGGAGGTGCAGTGGATCGATGCAGCCGACTGCGGCAAAGGCGGTGCAGAGCGCGGCGGGCTGCGTGGGACATGCACCGACTCAAGAGAAAACGACACCCTGGAAGACGATCCCATGGACTCGACCCTGAAAAAACACTGGTTGGTAGAGGACAACACTCTTTGCAGGGGGACTCCCGGACGTCAGGGTCTATGTGAGTGGACTCGGGAGTGTAAGGACGTTTGGGAGAGCTAGTGGCCCAGAGGCTGAAGGGACATGGAGAGATGGAGAGAATCTGGAATTGGATCCAGGAAAACTCCCGAGATGGGAAGCTGTGGTGGGCAGAGTTCCATGCAGAAAGCATGAACCCACACAAGTTGGTGGAACTTAGTGACGACTTAGTGGTTTGCCTGTACTGTATGTTCTTGAGTCCATGTTCCGAACCTTTTCAGGGGGTCGTTTCCTGAAAGGTCTCCCAGGTGAGGTCCCAGGAGTTGTTGGGCAGTTGAACGGCAGTTGTATCTATCTAGCGCGGTTTGCGAGCCAGTGCAACTTGCATCTTTTAAGTAATAGAGGCCTATAGCCTTATATTAGTTTCGGCGGGTAATTTTTATTTTGGATGCAGTTTCGTTTTTTCCGTAGCCATTTTGGCTCAAGATGTTTGACTTTGACACTTTATCAGAAGAGAGCATTTCTGGCCCGAGTCCTGGAGGAGACATTGGGACAGACTTGATTCCTCATCTTCCTCCACGTGAGGGTGAGATTGCCTTGTCTGAAGGCACCATGGCAATGGATTTAGCTGCCGAAACCCAAGCGGTCGCCCAAGCCAACCACCAGGCTGCCCAGGCAGCACAAGCAGCGGCTGCAGCACTCGCGAATCATGCCCCGATACAGAATGCACCTGCACCTGAAGTGGTGGCACCGCCACTAGCAACATTCCCTGTTGCCCCAAACCCACAGGCTACACCACCAATCGGCCAGCCAACACAGACCCCCACCACTGTCGCTGATCTCTATGCCAAATGGGCCTTGGAAAATCCTGGCGACTTGGTCCCTGTCACGATCGACATGAATGCGATTCCGCCTGCTGGATGGGACATCCTAACTCGTTGTTGGGGGTATCCTGGGCGGCAAATTGATGAAGACCGAGGGGTTTGTTCTCTACCGCCCCAAAGACCTCCAAGAAGCAATGGTCATGGCATCAGGGATAGATCATATGCTGCGAGTAGTCACATCAAAACTCAAGCACGTGGTCATGAATGGCTTTTTTGCATTGGGGTTCTGCTTTGCAGGCACGGACCCTATGTACTGCGGCATTGCGGAGAGAGAATATCGTCTGGCACCTGGCCATTACGCCGCCCATCAATATTTTCCAGATGTGCCATATCTCCGATCCTTGATCATCAATCCGTGGCATTTTGTCACACCTCTGCCAAATCGAGACCAACTCATCATCCGTTACGGCAACCAGGTCCGATCGCGTGCAACACTAATCACGAAATATCGGGAGACGATCACAGCACGACGGGATGAAGTCTCACGGCGAGCTGCCAACCCAGCCAAGTATGATGACAATTTGGGGGCGTTCGCAGATCATACAGAGAATGAACTATCCAGGGTCAATAATGAGACCACCCCTGACCTTGGGACCTATGAGCTGCCAGACATTTGGGTGTGCCTCGACAAGTCTAGGATCCCCCTGGTCCGATTTGATGTGCCAGTTGGCCGCATCTTGGAGGAGGTTGAGAAAAGAAGGCCGGCTGACTCGACTGCACACAACATTCAAGGCCTTTCATCAGCAGGGACCCCGCCTGTGCCCACGGAGTCAGGCGTCCTCATGGCAAGCGCACCGGCCGCGGAGTCAGATCTTCAGCCTGGGACCCGGCCAGCTGGCGTTCCAGAGCATATCCACAATTACATCATTCAGAAGATTGGACACAGACCCCGCATAGAGCTCCGCGGCAGTGATGCCAATCAGGCTACAAGTCTGATTGATGGTGCAGTGCTTAGCGCCGGATTGGAATGGGACAGGTCATATGAGCTGAACCTACAGGCATGTGGGTACCAGCAGGAGGAGACCTTCCACCACAACCCCATTCCATGGCCTGGCCGCCAATCGGAGCCAGGGACTGGGACAGAGCGAACTGAGTCTACTCAGAATCCTGACCAGTTCCCTATCAATGAGGTTTTTTTGCAACAGATGAAACAGATCCTGGTCAGTAGTGGAAAGTATTCCAGCTCCGACATCGACACACTTCCACTTGGTGAACTGGTCAGGCTGATGGCCGCTGAGGAAAGCATCATAGGGAGGCATCGAGACTGCTCTAGTCTCATTGCCAATGGATTCGACCCAACGATCATCCAGAGGCTGACAGAAATCTCAAACCAGAACATGAGTCTCCTTACAAATCAGCACATCCAGCAGGCAATGATCCAGGACATGAGGGCCAGTTCTGCTGCTACAACGGCACAAGTTGGGTATGTGGCTCAGGCCGTCAATGAGCAAGGGCAAACATTGACACAAGTAGCCCACACTACAGCTGCTTCTGCAAACACTCTGGGCACTGTGACTGATCAGCTGACAGGGGTGAATGCTCAGCTGAGCCAATCGGCGTCACTCATAAATCGGGTGATCACAACAGTCCAAACTGGCGCCCTCAGCAGGTTCAATCAGGAGCAGCCCCAGATAACATACTTGCAGACACAAGCCCAAGGTCAGGCTCTAGCACAAGGTGGTCAATGCCAGGCAGGTCCCCCTGGTATGGCACCTACCACCCCTATGGTGTCTCAGCAAGGGGTGGCAGCAGCTGCGGTAGCACCTGGGCAAACAGTCCAGACAGGCTTTCCCACTGACCCCCGTTCAGTCAGCCTTTCCCAGCAACCAGGAACAGTGGAGCATCGCGCTATGAGGTTCCCACATGGGACCTGGCGTTACAAACTGCACGCAGCCATGGCGAGCAGGGCCTGTCTCCCGGATGGCAGGATTAAGTGTTCCAAGTGTTCAAGGCCAGCATGTCCAATGATCGGGGCAGGCAACTCAGTCTATGTGACATGCTGCAAGGATTGCGCCTTATCCAACGGCAAACGTCACACGAGGAAGTGTAACGAGTACATCAGTGGCCCTGACGTATTGCCTGAGTACATGGTCGATCCTCCCCATCTTGCCAACGTCGACCTTCCTACTGGGACATTACCGCCAGAAAGGCCAGTCGTGCAAGGACAGGGGGTGGTTCAAGCAGCAAACCCTGCTCTTGGACAGTTCGGATGTCAGGCGGCACCTTGCCAGTGCGTCCAGCAGCAACCGCCACAGCAGCCAATGCCAGTTGCTCAAAACCCATTGACCCCACCACAGGGGCTACCGACTGCACCAACTTTTGGCCAGCCACCCGCCACACCACAACCGGCTCCTTCCAACCAGGTTGGCGGTCAACCGCCTTTGGCGTCTGCTGCTGGTACGCCCTGGATGACACCTCCATTCCAGGGAAGCATTGCGCAAGGCAGTCTGGCTGTGCCAGGTGTAGGCTATGGAGGCCTTCCACCGGCACCTGTCCAGGCAAATCCAGGATCGCTTCAAGGCCAATGTTCAAACCAGGCACCGGGAGGAATGACCAATCCATTTGGCATAACTTCCGCCCCCCCGGCGAATCAGCCGCCACCACAACCAGCTGCACAAACAGGGCCTGCCACTTCACTGGCGGATGCCATCAGGAATCAGACCCAGAATGCGCAAGGAGGAGGCCAGTCCCCTCTCATGTTCCCGAACCAGGCAAATATTGGCCAGGGCAACCAGGCACCAGCACCTGTATCCCACCCGGCTGGCACGCCACCAGGTGTGCCGGTCAACACGGCACAGCCTGCGCAGATTGGTCTCCCTGCCAATCTCTTCGCGCAAATGTTGGGTGCCGCGAGTAGTCAACCAGAAGCAATCACAGGTGTCATGCGAGCATTTCGCCCCACCTGATGACATGGTTCAAAGCCAAGTCAGCACAGAACGCCTATAGACCCCTGAAACCCATCCATCTATGGTTGGTCACACAGGCGTCTGGCATCTTTTGAAATGCAGTTCTTCGAATCGAATGGCACAGAGATTCTGGAGGACTGGAGGCAGGTGCGGCTATAGGCCTGCCTTTTTTCCAGTTGGATCCTTTGGATGCAGTGGCGGATAGGCACACGTGGGTGCCACCTGCCCGCCATAGACAAAGCAGTTTCGTTTTGTGGAGAGTGGAGCATGTGTACTAACTGGGATCCCCATTTGAATGAATCCGCCGGTATGGGGAAGATGTTCAACGTTTTCCCGGAAACCGAAATCAGCAAATGCAAGGCAAATTGTCCTTTTTGTTGGTCCATGTGCTTTCTGTTTGTTGATAAGGTCCCGCTCTGGCCTCCCAAGAGACTTATCGCGACAGCTGCGGTCGTGTTAGAATGAATACCAGTATATGAATTCCCAGACCATTCATGGGACTGGAATAGTATATATTTCTCTATATTTATATCAACAAAAATGCACCAACTGATCGGCAAATATTTCAGTCCTATGGATTGTTGGAGATACAGCTGTATCATTTGTGTGGAAGAGATCTTGTGAAGCTTGAGAGATCATCGGGCTTGACCTCGTGTCTTTTTTTGGAGGGTGGTGCACATGATTGTGAGTTGTAACATGGTTTCAATATGTTTCAATTGCACTAAAAACATACCCCGGCCTTTCATTGCATTTGGCCCTCGTGCAAATTTTTGGATTGAGTGTATTGGTGTGTGGTGAGAAAGCAACCAGCAGTCCCCAAGGTGATGTATTACACGGGGTTCGTACGTGTGAACATTAAACACTACGCGGGCCCCTGTTCAATCGCCGGGTTCACACAGTTGAACTTAGAGGTTCAACATCTCACCAGCCTGGCTCGTGCATAGACCAAGGCAACGGCTCGCATCCTTGCAGGCCCCGTACACAACAACCAACAAAAGCATCTGGAGAGCCAAGAAATCCAGGTGCGCTTTGGATCGGTTTGGATCCACTCACTTCAGCCGGTCCCTACTGCTAGGCTTTGAGTACCTCTACTTGCTGAAGGCCGACTACGAGAAGTTGCCCCCCCGGAAGTGTGGAGGCGGACGCCGGACGCGCCGCGCGGCGGAGCGGTGGGGTCCGTGGGGGCGACGCCGCCCAGTGCGGCGCGACCGTCGACGGTGCCTGGCAGATTGGCCGATGAGTTGGGGTTGAAGTCGAGGAGACAAACGAATGTTTAATCTGTCAAGGATGGGAAATGACATGGAGTGGAGCTGGGATGGGATATGCCGATACGTGCAAGGAACACTGGAACCGACGAAGATTCTCGAAGGAACCATGTGACAGTGTGTTATGTTGTTTTCCCTTGTCGAGGTTGCAATCGTTCCTCCATCGGTTGAATCATCGGTGATGTTTGTTGCATCTCAAAACGATACCAGGGTGCAAAGATTCTGGTGGCCCAGGGTGCGAGGATTTGGACCAACATGGCCCGAGGGTTTACCAACCCTCCACATGACTGGAAGAATTATACCAGTACAATTACCACTTCAATAACATCTTAATATCACCCCAACTGATCCGGACCCCTTCCATCCCCTTCCCATAGATTGTATGGCATTGCACTGCATTACCTTCATGATCCTTCATGATCATCAAATATCATAAAGATAGAACTGTATAAAACTGTTTGATGGAACATTTAGTTAAGCCTGGCTGTAGACTGTTGTACATTTGGGAATATGAACTACGATAGATCTTTCTGCCACGGACTCCGTCAAATTGGAATAGGATCCCTAGATTGAGCTCTGAAACCCTTCTTGATGTCCGAGCAAAAAGGGGGTGGCGAACCGTTTCTTATCCCCTCGCCAAGCCCTTTGACCCATCTAGATTGTGCAGAAACTGCCTCCCCCAGTTCCTGAAATTGTTGGGGAGGCGGGGACCAGGAGTTCCAACAGCACCGTGTCCCATTTAAACATTCATTTGACCAAACGGTCAAACGACTTCGATAACTGTTTGCCGCTGAAGAGTCAAATCGCAAGCCTTGTGAAGCATCACGGGTCTTTTCCAGCCAAACCAAAGACTCCACTCCTTCTTCCACCAAAAATATCCCCTCAAATCCTCTAAGAAAAAGCCGCTGCATTGGGCACCCACCGATTCGCCCGGTTCGCCCGGTTCGCCCCCCCGCTTCGACCCGATCGCCAGGTGCACAAGATCGCCGGGCCCAGCGGGGAGGAGCGCTTCGTTTTGGACGCCATCATCGGAGAGGGCATGAAGAGCACCAAGCCCGGTCCCAGGGACGCGCGGGAAGCAGCGCGAAGCGGCGCGCGGCAGGAAGCGGGCTTGGGGTTTTGGGGGATGTTTTGGGGTGGGTAGGAAGAGGGGGGGTGAAAAAGCGGGAAGAGTGATGGAGAACAGGGATGCTGGGGGAGAATTGGGATACTCCAAGGCATAGACCCTACCTGGGAGTGGTTGAAGGGTCAATGGAGCTTGGAAAATGCGCTCACCATCCTGCCACCTGCAGCGGTTGTCAGAGGCTAAGCCCGAGACGCGGTTTGGTTCACCACTCCTACTGGGTCTTGAAGGGGCAGACAGCGCAAGTGTTCAGGACATCCGAGGAGTTCGGAAGTAGACCAGCACTCCCGAAGCTTTCATCATAGAGACTCTTGGAGGTCTTTCAATCCTCTTTTTCGAAAGCACAGGTTGGTGGTTGTCATTTTGGGGGACCTCCCTGAGGTAGTCGAATGGCACGGTCGAACTGTGTTGAGATTTTCTCGAGTTGAGAGATGGGTCATCACAGTTGGTGCTTCCCACGTCGATCGTTTGATGTTTCATCAGCTGCTATTGGTTCAATGTTCTGGGATTCTGGTTGACCTCCAAGACTGAAGCCATCCAGGCAGCCATCCAACTCACTCACCCACCCAACCCTCCAAGCTGGATTCTGGTAGGTAACTTGTTTGTCACCGCCCAACTCACATCAAACCCATGAAAAATGAACCAAACATGAACCAAAACATGATTGTCGTCCCTTCACCGAACTCGGTGCGTTGACCCGAGTCACCGACCGAGGGGTGGCATCGGAGTGGAGAACTTGCAGGGCAGCGGCTTGATCGCTGGCGAGACCAGCCGTGCCTATCAGGAGAGATGCGGGGCCGGGGTTAGGCGTTAGGGCTTGAGGGGGGGTGGAGGGGGTAGCAGATGGATGTGATGGATGTTTGGTTTGGAGTGGCAGAGAGAAAAGAGGGCTGGTTGGTTCCTTACCAGGAACTGCAGGTATGTCGAACCATTGGTGTTTTCTCACTCTTCCTACCACAGCCAAACTGAAAGCTTTTGAAATCCAGTGATCGTCAAGAAAAGAAACAATTGCCAATTCTCAGCCTTCAACATCCTTCAACTACATCCTCAGCAGATAGTTGGACCCCCCATTCATCTTACTTGGTCCTGCTCCTAGTCCTTGCAGCCCCGCCACCATGATCTTCCTGAACACCACCAGCTGGTGCGCAACAAAACGAACATTCTTTCCTATCTTCCCAGACCATGGAATAGTTGCATACATTTACCTAATTGATGCCAAAGCTGTGTAACTCTTCCGGTTTCATGGATGGTTTGGCTTCGCCGAGATGCTTACCTCCTGTTTTTCCACCATGCTGGGATGGGTCATGGCACCTGGAGCTTACCTCCTGGTGCAGTCCGGCCGCGAAGGACCTGAAATCGGGGAGGTCAACCCTAAACCCTAAACCCTAACCAGGTCTCCTGGTGTCCAGATCCACAGCCATCTCCCAGGACACCTTCACCTTGTCCTATATCACCGGTCGATCGGTGGGCATCGGTGCCTACCTGAACCGCCTGGGCCAGCGGAACATCCAGATGGCGCGGTCCGGGGGGCATCTGGGAGCAAGTGGATGTGACCAGATATATACCTCAAGCATCGTCAAGATCACTCAAAATCGATGTGGGGAATAGTCAAAATCCTTAGAAAAAGAACACTCAAAATTAGATACCTCAGGACACACCAGACTTCTCACTCTGTGTGTGTGTGTGTCAAACCCTGTCCCTAAGGGCTTTCCACCTTGAAATCGTGTTTCTAAGCAGGGGGCTCACGGGTTTGTTCCTGGCGTGAGCCAACGAAGCTCCAGGTTCAGACTAGGATATCGAAAGAGGACGCTCTTTCGACGTACCTGCGCTTAACTTTTGACCAAGCTCTTCCAATCCTCCTTTTTTGATTCCATTGGTGGTTCATGATACCTTCCCTTAAACCTTTCTTTTCCTTTGCCGCTTTCTCATGCAGCTGAGTCGTGCAGATGCTCGCCACCGCAGATCTGTCAACAGACTGCTCAAACAAAACAAGTGCGCGGACCTTTTCACCTTGCCGTTCTCTCACCTTCTTTCCACCTGGGAATTGAGTTAACCGAAAACCAATGTCAGAGTGTGAACCGCTCAGCCGTCCCACTTGGGTGCTGGGTGTGATCCTCCGCAAGGAGGCGCCGTTCTCATTCCGGAATTCGTGTAACCGATTCTTCGTTTCCACCATTCGATCTGGGCAAATTAAGGCGAGCTCACCTGACGAGGTACGAGGTAGAATAATTTCAAAACGAAAATAAGCGAGGTAAGTCCAGCAACAGCAGCAGCACAAAGGGTTTGAGCTTGTAAGGGCCACTGCTGGGCGTAGCTTCCAGGAGCTACAGGGACTCCACTCACCATGCCACACAGAAGCCCCAAGAATACCAAAAACAAAAAACAACCTATTTTTAAGAAATAGGCCCGATTTTTGTCTCAAGCATGCTTGAAGGGATTGGGGCTTGTAGAGGCCACTGCTGGGTGTAGTTTCCAGGAGCTACAGGGGGTCCACTCACCATGCCACACAGAAGCCCCCAAAAATACCAAAAACCAAAAAACAATTGTTAAGAAATAGGCCTGATGTTATTTTCGGTGTTTTAAGTTGAAGGGAACCGGCAAGGGAAAGAGCCAACAGAATACTACCAGAGGGGGATTTGAAGGGATAACCTTTCGATTCCGAAAAGCGTGGTTATCCGACCGGGCTAAACTGACACTTCTCATGAGGGCAATGCCCAAACCACACAGACAAGAAGACCATGCAGAGAAGCCCCAAGAAAACCAAAAAAATAAAAAAAACAACCTATTTTTTCAGAAATAGGCCCGATTTTTGTCCCAAGCATGCTTGAAGGGATTGGGGCTTAGCATCCAGGAGCTACAGGGGATCCACTCACCACGCCACGCAGAAGCCCCAAAAACACCAAAAACAAAAAAAACAACCTATGTTTAAGAAATAGGCCCGATTTTTGTCCCAAGCATGCTTGAAGGGATTGGGCCTTGTAGAGGCCACTGCTGGGTGTAGTTTCCAGGAGCTACAGGGGATCCACTCACCACGCCACACAGAAGCCTCAAGAATACCAAAAGCAGAAAGCAACCTATTTTTAAGAAATAGGCCCGATTTTTGTCTCAAGCATGCTTGAAGGGATTGGGGCTTGTAGAGGCCACTGGTGGGTGTAGTTTCCAGGAGCTACAGGGATTCTTCCACCCACCATGCAGGGCAGAGAGCCCCAAGAATCCCAAAGGCTTCAAACAACCTATTGTCAAGAAATAAGCCCGATTACTAGTTGGCACGTGCAGGAAGCCATGGAAGGCATTCAGGCCCCCACACCAAATGCAGACGAGGTGAATGAAATTATTGAAATTAAACGAGGCGAGGTGAATAATTTCAAAACATGAAATTAAGACGAGGTACGAGGTGAACGAAATTCAACTAATTTATAAATCACTCAGATTCGATGGATTTTCTTAGCGGACTCTTTTTCACCACTGGATCAACTGCTTTACGAGCCGCCGGGCTTATACGGTCTGAATTCACTGAATCTCCATTACTTGCAGCTTGCCTTTGACTTTCAAGCTTGTACAGTTGACCTGCCACAGCAACGGCAGCAGCTGAGGAACTAGTCCGGCTATACGTCCAAAAAGGGCACGATTCCACCGAATGCCGGCGCTGTCTACGAAAAAACTGTTGCCATGCGGATTCCTCCACGCACGTGCGCCGATATCGGCCACGTGTGTGTGTGTGTGTGTGTCAAACCCTGTCCCTAAGGGCTTTCCACCTTGAAATCGTGTTTCTAAGCAGGGGGCTCACGGGTCTGTTCCTGGCGTGAGCCAACGAAGCTCCA